GGAGGGGGGGAGGCTGTGTAGCACATATCAGCAAAAACAAATAATTTATGAAAGATAACAAATTAATTGTGAAACATAGCACAAACTTATCAAAACACGACCCATTATTTGCAAACACAACACAGTATTTGCCAAACACACCTTAATCTTTGTGAGAAACAACGCGAACGCATCAATTCATGCTGGATATACAACAGAAAAACTCAAGCTTCAGCCGCTCTGCGTTATACGCCTAGCAAAACTCCCGCCATATTTTGGTCGCAATTTGCTTCGGCGGACACTTTGGCGCAATGTCTTGTGCCAACTGTGTAAGACATCGATATGTAGCAAACGTTTGTTATTTTTGTAGAAAAAAGGTGGAGAATGACCACTCATAGCGAGCAGCCAAGCGAACAGATAATGGCACACTACAAATTCTTGAACTTTAAAAGCTATGCTGTGCCCAGATTCGACTAAGTGGCTCAAAAAAGAAAAGGGGCGAAGAGGAGGTATTCTGTAACACAAATTCTGCTCGTAACCACGAAAATAACCATTAGCTGCTGGTACACTTCATGACAAATACACACCCATGTAGAAGCATTCCACAAAATGGCGGATAATAATAGCAGACTTTCGCCGTTCACGTAAGTGAATTTAATAAGCTAGAGGAATAAAAGAAGAAACCGGTGCAATTTTTCCCAGTTTGTGCCAAAGAATATTAGACCTAGGGGATCAAATAAGACATTTGATTTACGCACCATAGTCACCACCTCGACAAAATCCTTCTCCGCAGGTGTTGCAACCACAGGTCGCCCAAGCTCTGTCACAGGCTCTTTCACAGTGAATAATTAAAGAGTTTGTATAGTGGTTTAGTTGGACTTGCTTTTGAGCTCCGTAAATGTAAAGTTGTGTGAAATAGTCAAAGAAATAAAGTCTTACCTTCGTAGAGAGTAGTCTGTGTTGTTCTCCTCGCGATTTGAGGCCGTTTTGATGTGTTTTAGCTTGACGCCCTAAATTACCGTGCATAAAAT